GCTTTTGAACTGTGGTGTTGGAGAAAACTCCTGAGTCCCTTGGACTGCAAGGAGATTCAACCAGTCCGTCCTGAAGGTGATCAGTTCTGAGTGTTCATTGGAAGGACTGATGTTGAAGCTGAAACTTCAATACTTTGGCCACCTGTTGCGAAGAGCTGATTCATTTGAAAAGACCCTAATGGTGAGAAAGTTTGAAGGCAGGAGAGGAAAGGGACAACAGAGGATGAGATGGTTGGATGGCATCACCAACTCAACGGACATGAATTTGGGTAAACTCCGGGAGTTGATGATGGATAGGGAGGCCTGGCATGCTGCAGTCCATGGGGTTGCAAAGAGTCAGACTGAGTTACTGAACTGAACTGAACTGAACCAAAAGTATAAATGGATTGGAAAAACATAATAGGTAAATTTTAACTAAATGAATACCAAAGTAACTATATAAATAGGAGACAGAGTTTTTAATGTAAGATATTAATAGAGATAAAAAATTATATTTCACAATGCTAAAAGCTTCAAATCATCAATAATAAAAGGCAGTTTTAAATTTGTATGTAGCATATTTGTAAACTTGTATGTAGCATCATTTGTAAATAGCATCAAATATGTAAAGCAAAAAGGAAACAGAGGTACAAGAAGAAAACTTTTATTTATTTATTTTTATTGAATTGTTGTAATTTTTTTATCTTTTTAAAAATTTTTTAATTTTTTTCATTTATTTTTATTAGTTGGAGGCTAATTACTTTACAATATTATAGTGGTTTTTGCCATACAAGGTGAGGGTGGGATGATCTGAGAGAATGGCATTGAAACATGTATATTATCAAGTGTGAAACAGATCGCCAGTCCAGGTTGGATGCGTGAGACAAGTGCTCAGGGCTGGTGCACTAGGAAGAAGAAAACTTTTAAATGCTACACCCATTTAGAAGAGTTTGACACTGTCTTCTAAGTTAATCCAAGCAGAATAAATGGGTGGGAAAAAAAAACCCACAAAAAATGTAACAACTTTATAAGTGATATGGATAGAATTGTTATCAGACTTAACCCAATAGATTCTCATCACATCCCAAACAACAGAATACTCCTCCTTTGCAAGCACACGCAGGACAATAATCAATCATATTCTTGGCAATAAAACAAGTTCTAGCAAATTTCAGAAAATTGAAAACATACCAATTTTTTCCTCTGAATATGATTCATTTAAGCACAAAATCAGGGAGGAAATAAACCATATGTTTATAAAGGGGGGCTTCCACGGTGGTGCTAGTGGTAAAGAACCCACCTGCCAATGCAGGAGACATAAGCGACACAGGTTCAATCCCTGGGTTGGGAAGACTCCCTGGAGGAGAAAATGGCAACCCACTCCAGTATTCTTGCCTGAAGAATCCCATGGACAGAGGAGCCTGGCTGGCTAGAGTCCATGGGGTCACAAAAAGTCAGACATAACTGAGCAACTGAGCACACATGTTTGAAAATAAAGAAGCACTTGCCTATTAGGTATCCCTACTGTGTGACTAATACGTGCACAAATCTGACATGTCTATCAAGTTCCAAACTACCTTTCGTTTCTTCCCCATGTTCATCTCATCCCCATAATTGTCTAAGGCATCATTTATGGTCCCATGACACTGTTGTAGTTCAAGTCTTCTCTTTAAGTTTCTTCTCTTGGAGGTTCACGCTCCTCCTATCTGCCACACTATTCTTTCTAAAAGATTGGTTTAATCATATAAAGCTTTCATTTAAAACTTTTTAAAGGCCTTAAATACCAACAGGATAAAATTCAAACTCTATAACATGACATTCAAGGATCCTTAACAATCTCTGCTTTTTTTTTTTTCATTTTTATTTCCTCCCAAACTCTCATGCACCTTTTGTACACTAGTTATACTATTATAACTTACACTTCCCTGAACACTCCCTCTCCCTGTCTCCTCCTCACCTTTGTACCTACTTATCTTCTCACCTGGAATGTCCTCTCCTGTTGTTTACCCACATGACAATTTCCTACATATCCTGAGAGATACAGTTCAAATATCACTTTCCTTGCCTGATCAGTCCTTATGGTGTTATTCACTTCTTCACTTTCTACCATAGAATATTTTTTACTTCCAGTTTTTAAATTAGCTATTTAAATCTCTGTCTATTGCATTAAGCCATAAACTACATGCAGAGAGGATTTTTTTCTTGTTCATTTTTTTCTATTCTTAGCATTTATATAAGGAAGACTCAAAAGTTAAACTTATGAATAAAATTAAAATTGATATGGTAGCTTAAACATATTTATTGAAAGAAGCAAGAAGGGTCAGTCAGTAGACTGGTTGTGAGAAAGGAGAGCAATGCTATAAAAAGTAGATGGAATAACCCGTAAAGAATATAAAATGGCACATTTGGTATGATAGTCCTAAAATCTTTTAGCATCTTCAGGAAAGGGTTTTCTGGGTAGAGACGTCCAGCATTGATACAGTGCAACTCAGGAGAGTGTCATACACATCTAGTCAAGGATGTGGTTGTGTCGCATGGAGAAGTCCTGACTGCAGAAAACCCTGATTGGTCGTACCTGATTTCCTTGATTAAATGAATCATGTCATTAGATCCCAGGAAATAAGTATTATTTAGTATGACCATTGGGAGTCATCATTAAGTAAAGGCCTATATTTTGCCTAACCTAAATGATGGGAGAAGTATGTCATACCTTTTGGAAATCTTCCCATCAAAAACAAAAAGATTAGGTACCTAATGTAGCAAGTTTAAATTGTATAGGAAAAAAATTCCCAATTAAGTCAAATCAATGAAGCGTTGCAGTGGGCTGAAATCCATATCCAACTGTAGCATAATTTTCTGTTTGTTTAAGGCTTACCCATGAATATTATAAATTGCTGTCACATTATTCCTGACCAAATAATTTAGAAAATAAATTTATATACTTGTGTTACCCATATTATTAAATACTTGGTATCCAGAATCCTAGGGACTGAGCTTCATATGAGATAATTAGAATTTGCTTACCTGAACCAATGGCTTCATCTGCTGCAGAATTTCATGCTAGTGTGGATATTCTGTTTTTATACCTAGAGCATCATTTGGTTGCTAACAGTATAAACCAGAGTTTCCCTGGTGACTCAGGCAGTAAAGAATCCACCTGAAATGCAGGAGACCTGGGTTCGATCACTGGGTCGGGAAGATTCTCTGGAGAAGGGAATCGCAACCCACTCCAGTATTCTTTCCTGGAGAATTCCATGGAGAGAGGAGCCTGGTGGGCTATAGTCCATGGGGTTGCAAAGAGTCAGACATGACTGAGTGACTAAGCATAGCACAGTATAAACCAAATACACTGATGGCAGCGTTTTCTGGGAAGCAGCTAGAAAGAAAGAAAAAAAAAAGCTCTTCTAGATTCACCTGAGGCTTCCCAGGTCTCTCAATGGTAAAGAACCTGCCTGCCAGTGCAGGAGCTACAGGAGACCTTGGTTCAATCCCTGGGTCTGGAAGATCCCCTGAAGAGGACATGGCAACCTGTTGTAGTATTCTTGCTGGGAAAATCCCATGAACAGAGGGTCCTGGCAGATTACAGTCCCTGATGTCGCCAAGAGTCAGACATGACTGAGGGGCTAAGCACAGACACACACCTGCAAATGACATTTTAAGTGATTATCCTATTCACTCCCCACACTCAGGAATTATGTTTCCATGCCCAAGGCTTTTGAACTGTGGTGTTGGAGAAGACTCTTGAGAGTCCCTTGGACTGCAAGGAGATCCAACCAGTCATCCTAAAGGAGATCAGTCCTGGGTGTTCATTGGAAGGACTGATGCGGAAACTGAAACTCCAATACTTTGGCCACCTGATGTGAAGAGTTGACTCATTGGAAAAGACCCTGTTGCTGGGAGGGATTGAGGGCAGGAGGAGAAGGGGATGGCAGAGGATGAGATGGCTGGAGGGCATCACCAACTCGATGGACGTGAGTTTGAGTAAACTCCAGGAGTTGGTGATGGACAGGGAGGCCTGGCGTGCTGCGATTCATGGGGTCGCAAAGAGTCAGACACGACTGAGAGACTGAACTGAACTGAACTGAACCCAACCCAAAATCTCCGAGCCTAAATATGTTCTCCACCTACCTGATAATAGCCTTTTCCTTTTGCTAGATGTATTCTTGAAAATAGCTTCTCACAGTAAGTGTAGCCACTGGCTTATTGCAGATCACCCATTTTATCTGTTATAATATCTCTTTCTACAGATCCTCCTGCTGTGGAACCGGCATTTCTGGAAATCCGGCAAGGACAAGACCGAAGTGTCACTATGAGCTGCAGGGTCCTAAGAGCCTATCCAATACGGGTGCTGACCTATGAGTGGCGCTTGGGCAACAAATTATTGCGGACGGGTCAGTTTGATTCTCAAGAATACACAGAATATCCAGTGAAGAGTCTTTCCAATGAAAATTATGGAGTTTATAATTGTAGCATCATAAATGAAGCTGGAGCAGGGAGATGCAGCTTTCTTGTTACAGGTAAGGTGCTGAATATTTTTCTTTTCTTTTTTTTTTTTTTTTAGATCATGGGAGCTTAGGCTCTTGTCAGTGTAAGAATGAAAGCATTTTGCAAATCCACAGAGCATATTATGAACAGCTTGCCTGTTCTATTTAGAGTGTCTACTCATTATTTTCAAGGCAAGTCTATTTTAATAGTTAAGATAGTTTATATGCTTATAAAATTAGACAGAAGCTTATGTGAATCCGAATAGATTTGGTGATGAGGTTGGTTATTTTGAGTATCACAGTAATAAAGTGACAAATCTTAACCAGCTTTTTTTTTAGATCAAATTGCAATTATTAATACATATTTTTTCTGCAAGTCTAAAAGCTCTTTCAATCCATTATCTGTGCTGGTTTTAGTAAAGAGTGCTTTCTTTTTCTCGTTTATTTATTAACTCAATGTGTGGTGAATGTCCATTTTATCATTGGCTTACTATAGGATCACAGATATTCAAAGGGAAATCAATATAGTTGTATTTGGTATATAATGAGTTGAGAAAATTACCATTTTTGATGTCATTATCTTTTACTGTATTTAAAGAGATAGTAAATCTGTGTTAAATTGTATATATTTATTTGAATTATTTTTGTAATCTAAAGTAAATTTCTGTTATTTTTGAGCTAATATTTAGGCATATCTTAAAAGAATATACTCCTTTTCATTATTATTTTGTTCTAGATGAAGTTTGTTGTAACAGTTATAGTGCTTATGCTACTAAAAGAAGAAACTGGATGTTATATGTTATCTGTAAAGCAATCATAAAAATCATGATTACAATGTTTCAGACTTAATTAAATCTTGTTAATTGGTAATATAAATTCTTATTAATAAGTTCTTACTTATAAGAGAATTCTCTGATATGGATTGCCTTAAGACATTTAACTTCCTGAAATGGGATATTAGATATTAATAAGTAAAATATAATTGACTAACCAAAGAATATGAAGACGTCCTCTCCAATGGATCTTACCACCTCTTGGTTTTGCAATCTCTTTTATTAACATTCAGTTGAACTTAAGACTTTTCTACTGCAATTCTTCAAGTGAACTGTTAAAATAAAAAATTCCCTAGGACTGATACTTACATGATGATCTAATTTTTATCCCTAGGAGTATTTAAAAGGGTAAAAGAATGTAATGTATTACTCTAGGGGGTAATTTAAATGCCTTGATATACTTTCATTCTTTATTTATAATATATTAATTCCAAAGAAATAAGAATCTTTTGAAAGCAATTATTTTTTACATATTGGTACAAATGGAGCACTTTACTTTCTTTCATTATCCCTCCAGAATAAAAATACCCCATAAAATTAACTAAACTCCTTTCTCCAATCCTTTCGGCTTTATACACATTCTGATTTTCTTTGGTGACACTGTTTTCTAACTTGGACTATATTAGATTATGCACCTCTGTGAGATTTTCATTTGTTCTTTATTATATGATCCAAATCCTATTTCCTGAGCTAGAAGACAAGCTGAGACTGGAAGAAACACTAGCTCCATTCTCCCATCCCAGATTCACGGGGTGCAGTAAGTAGATTTCAATAGCTGCAGAAAGGAATAAACCTGTTGTGGATTGCCCCATGGAGGGAGAGAAAATAACCCCAGGCATTAATTTGTTTCCAGTGTGCATTTTTCAGTCTTCAGGTCAGCTTCATTTTTTTTCAAGATCTCCACATAAAATCTAACAAAGTTTTGAAGAAGAGAAAAGGAAATGATTGAATCTGAAATATAGTATAATTCCAGAAAATATATAAAGAAATCAATACATCCATAGAATCAGACATCTGGAAGAAACTTTGAAAGGCCATTTACTTTTTCTACTAAAACATAGCATAATTAGTAGTACTATGAATTAGTATATAATATAGAATTAGTAGTAATTCCCCACAATTCAAAACTCTTTGAAGCTATGCAGAAGAGAACTAGGAAATATAATATATTCAAGGCTGCATATATTCATTATGCATATGTTCTTTACCCAAAAAACTGATCATTGAAGACAATTCTTTTTCCTTCCTTGAGGCCCAGATTAACTAAGAAACATTTAAAATTTTATCGTTAGAACTATTTTACCAAATTTAAGAACACACTTCCACTTGCTTGTCATGAATATCATGTAGTCACTTGACAGTGGATTTGATCTGACTATACATCAAAATGTATAGAACTGAACACAAAGGCAATGGCAGCCACATGTCTATATTTATTTTAGCTCCTGGGAAAGCTCAAAAGTTCGGCCCTGTTGTCTTCATATATATCATGAGTATGTGATGTGTGTCTGTGTTCAGTGGCAAGAGAGGAGGGTTTTGTTTACCGAGGAGTCAGACAGGGTGTGAGAATATTTTCCTGGAAAGGAAAACAAGAAAGTAAGCAAAGGTATTTTACAAAGAATGACCAGCCTAGCTTGTAATCCACCATCTATGTTAGGAAATATTAACTATAATATTACAAAGTACTGTGTAGTTGACTTATTTTATTTCCTAGTATTGTTATAGTGAAGTTAAACCTGGTGTTTGTTTGTTTGTTTTTGTGGTTTAAGCCTTTGTGGTCTATAGCAATAACCCAAACACCATTTTATCATATTTTTCTATGAGAATTTTTACAAATTCTAAAAATAAATGTGGCATTTTAATTTATTAGAATAAACCCACTTTTAAATGTGAAATTCCAAGTATATATGTATAAATACATAGACACAAGTATTTTTATATTAATAAATTGTTCTGTACTATTCAGCATGTCACTCCAAAGGAGCATGGATTTCACTTTCTCACAGGTCCAAATGCTCCAAATTAACATTTGGAAAAAATATTTTTAAATACTCCAAAATATGTAGGCACATTCATTATATTATACATATGAGTGAATAACATGCTAGGTTAGATCCTGGCACACCAGCTTGATCCAGAAAAGAAAACCAGGAAATGTGGGATGATGAAACAGATAAAGGGATGGCCAAGATGAATGATTAGATGGAAGGACTCTTATTGAATATCATTTCTTTATTAGGAAAAAAATGAGGATAAAAGGATAGTTCAAGGTGAAAACATGCAGTGGGCTGAATAGTGTCCTGTGTGTGTGCTCAGGTGCTTTAGTCGTATTAGACTCTTTGCGACCAGTGGACTGTAGCCCACCCAGCTCCTCTATGTGGGATTCTCCAGGCAAGAATACTACAGTGGGTTACCATGCCTTCCTCCATGGGATCTTCCTGACGCAGGAATCGAACCCATGTCTCTTATGTCTCCTGCATTACCAGATGGGTTCTTTACCACTAGTGCCAGCTAGGAAGCCCAAATAGTGTCCCTCAAGAAGGGAAATCTCTGTCCTAGTCCCCAAAACCTGTGAATATCATTTTACATGGTAATGCATGATTAATTTAAGGATTTTGAGACAAGCAGCTTTTCCTGGATGGTTGATGTTGGCCTTAAATGCAATAATGTGTACCTTATAAGTAAGGCAGAGGGAATTTTGAGAGAGGAGAAGGCAATGTGAATACAGAGGTAGGGATACAGTTAAACCAGTGTTTCGATAAACTCCTTTCTTTAAAATGCTTCTAGTTAAATAGAACTGCTTTGCCAGATATCCTCAACTCTGATACCCTACTCAGTCTAAACCCCTGCACAATAGGCATAGCAACTTCTCACAGCTCAGAAAAGTTATGAACAGTGGGTACTTTTACCTCCTAAAGAGCTAACTGAAACAAGGCTATAGCTGCTAGAGGTAAAGCCTGGGGCGAAAAGCACCTTGGGAGGTTACATCACCCCCTGCATCTGTCACTGGTGTTGGTTTAAACTATACATTGGTAAAGACCCCTAGGGATGCTTCAAGATTGAAATGTTATGCCCATTATATAATAAAGTGAAGATAAGATGTCTGCAGCAGCTTGATTACATAGTATAACAGATGAGAGAGAATCTGTTGGCAGATTCTGTTGAAATGCCCAGGTTTAATAAAGATTCACTTTGACTTCCTTGAATATGAAAAACTAGGCTATCTGAATTAAAATGCATAGCAATCCACTCCAGTATCCTTGCCTGGGACATCTCATGGATAAAGGAGACTGACAGGCTACAGTTCATGGGATTGCAAAGAGTCAGACACAACTTAGTACTAAACAATAATGATAACAATTGATTTATAAAATTTTAAATTACCTATGTCTTTTAAATTATTTAGTGATTGAGATGGTAGTTCTAAACTATTCCATAAACATATTTCTTTCCTTTAACAAATTTGTTTCTGACAATATGTATCTGTTGAAATTTTATGGATGTTAGTAAATTAAGACTTAAAAGCAAATTGGACAAGGAAATGAGTCGATTTTTTCTGTTAACTCCTTTAAATAAGTAACTGAAAAAAATGTGGCAGCTTTCATGGGACAGTATATACATGAGTATTTATTAAACTATATTTTATGTCAGTTAAAGTAAAAGCAGAATAACATGGTTGTCAATTATAGTCCAGGAGCAAAAACAGAATGTCTTTATAACTTCCAGAGGGTGTATATACACAGTTACATATGCTGAAACTTGTGAATCATTTAAGATTCAATCAATGAAGACAGTTTTAAATTCTGTTAAATGAAAAATACTAAAACAGTGGTGTCTTTCTCAACAGGTAACTATTAAAACTTTTTATTGCATAACTACAAATTATAATTCAGCATGAAACAACCATTATTGTCCCTTTGCTAATGATTTTCTTTGCAATCTGACAAATATTTATTTACTATGTACCTACTGAATGTCAGGTACTAGATTATACCAGAAGTAAAACAATAAATATCCTCTCCTCAAAATCTTTCCCCTATCATGTATATTTCTGAGTCTTGTCATTTTTATATTTGCATAGTACTTTGCAGCCACCATTATCTTTTTAACCCTATTGCTCCTGTTAGCCTTATATTCCCTTATCTCAGGTATTATGTCCTCTATATATATTTTAACTGCTAGCTGAATTTTCAACCTTTA